ATATCCTGCAAAATGAATGAATGAATCCTTTCTCTTTTGAATGTTGCACTTCCATTCAATCTTTACTATTACAGATGTTTTTATTTTAAAAGAAATTTCAGATGGTTTTGGTAAAGGCTTTATGTTTATCGTAGAAAATAGACAAAACTAAGGAAAATCAAAACCTTCCCTGCTCTTACTGGTTTAGTAAATAACATTTGTCCACCTTAGTGCTCACAGGTGGGCCGTGTTTATCTGGCACCTCCGTGGACAGCCGTGCATCGTATGACTATGGGGACACCAGCTGCGGCACCTATGTGTTTGTAGCGTCCAGCCAGCCTCAATAGCTGGGATTCTGTGACTGCAGATTCAGCCTACAGTAAATGGAAAACTTTTCCAAAAATCATATCTGTACTGAACATATACAGATTTTTTTTCTTATGGCTATTTCCTAAATAATCCAGTAGGACACACCTATTTGCAGAGCATTTCCCTTGTATTAGGTGCTAGTATCATAAATCATCTAGGGTGACCAAGACCATATGGAAAGGTGGGAACATGTTCTATGCAAACACTGTGTAGTTTTATGTAAAGCACTTGAGCATCCTTGGATTTTGCTACCCAAGAGTAGGGGCCCCCAACCCCTCAGCCATCGACTGATAACCCACTGACACCCGGCAGTCAGTCTAGGGCTTGATAGGAACCAGGCCACACAGCAAGAAGTGAGCAGCGGGTGAGGGAACGAAGCTTCATTTATATTTGCAACCTCTTCCTATCCCTCCCATTATAGCCTGAGCTCCGCCTCCTGTCAGGTCAGTGGCTGCATTAGACTCTCATAGGAGCCCAAACACTACTGTAAACTGCGCGTGCAAGGGATTTAGGTTGCTTGCTCCTTTGAATCATCCTGAAACCATTCCCTCTTCCCATCTCCAGTTGGTGGAAAAATTGTCTTTGGCGCAAAACTGTGTGCCAAAAAGGTCGAAGACCACTGACTGAGGGTTCCTGGAAACCATCCCACAGACACAGGGGCAGCTGTGCACATATTAAATGTGTTACATCAAATATATATTGTTTTGTATTTGACTTTATTGAACCTTATAAACAGTCCCATGTTATTCTTGCATGAAAATATTTTCAATTATGGGTTAATGATAAAATGTTACTGAGAAATGTGTCATTAATCAATGTTGCTGCTGTATGAACTTCATAAAGTTCACTCATCATAAACTCAGCCACCATGATGGCATTTGGTGGTATAACCTCATGGGACCAACGTCATGTGCAGGTCTACTCCTGACCGAAATGCCACAGCTCCACACTTACTGCATAATGTTCTTCAACATCAGTCTACTGTGAATACTTAACCTTTCACTAAAGTGGAAATGTTTCTTTCTTCTTTCTCTTTCCTTTTTTCTTTCTTCTTTCTTTGTATTCTTTCTTTCTTTTTTCTTTCCCTTCCTTTCTTTCTTTCTTTCCTTCTTTCCTTTCTTCCTTCTCTCTCTCCTGTCTTCTCCATCTGCCCACCCCACTCTTTTTCTGGTTCTGGGAATAGAACCCAGGGCCTTTCACCTGTTCAGCAAGTGCCTACTGCTACACCTCAGCCCCAGGTTCATTTTTTTCACCCTGTGGTGAAAACTCTTGTCCATCATTCTGTGTCGTGAATTTTGGACTAGATCCTTGTCACACACACACAAACACACCTCCTTAGATATACTAATTGGAAGAGCAGGGATTTAAAAAGGCTCCTTAAACATTTTGCCAGATAGTTCTCTGGGGACATTGGTCACACGTGCAGGCACTTTTTACCTGACCTGCTGACATTTGCACTGGCTCCCGTCACCCAACAGCCTTGAGATTCTTATGCAGGTCCACATCTCCCTTAAGCAATCTGGATGTTCAGTTGATGTTTGCCGAATGGCTTTTGAAAACTGATCTATTGTTTGGGAATTCATAATTTCCAGCTTTGTGATTTTTTGCAGGCCTCCTGTTAGTCTGTGTGCTGCTTATCACTTCCTAAACATGGGGCTTTGGCTGTCTCTTCACCTTCCTCATTGCAGGGCACAGAGGGACCTGTGCACACTGCACTGAAGTCTGAGGTTCATGAAGCATTTTACTGAACAGAGCCCTTGTATGAATTTCCTGCCTGTTAGTCACTGAGGTGGGAGCTCTATGGCAGGTGTCACTGGCACTCCAGCTGTCCCTTGGTATCTGCAAGAAATGGATTACAGGATTCCCACAGATACCCACATCTGTGATGCTTGAGCCTCTCAGTGAATCTACCCACCTCCACCATATACATTAAACCATCTCTAGATGACTTCTAATGCCTATCACAATGTAAATGTCATGTAAATATGTATTTCTTACTGTATTTCTTAGAGAATAATGTCAACAAGAGTCTGTACATGTTCAGCAAAGTTGTCAATTTTTAAAAACATTTTCTATCCTTGTTTGGTTGAATCCACAGATGCAGAACCAACAAAAATGGAGGCCAATTGTGTTTCCAAAGCAGAAAACAGTGAGGACCCTGAAACAGATGACTCTAACATGAAGCTAGGAGCAAAAGCGGCTTTTAGTGATGCCAGCAGCTCAGTGAGTGACTCCTATCAGTCTCAAGAGCTCCGAATAGAAGTTTGCACTTTCTTATATACCTCTTCTTATTTCTATGAGGTTTACTTCCATTGGAGTTTCCTTGAGAATATAGCAAGCAGGATTTACACAAAGCAGAGCAGCAGGGAGGGGGACAGCAAAGAGTTGTGGCAGGACTTTCTGAGTCCATTACACTCCTTTGGTGACATATTACAGAAGTCATGGCTACTCAGGCACATTCCACAAAGAGCATGGTTACCTAGTTAACCCATAGCTGCCTAATAACACAGTTAACTCCTAGTTGCCTAATAACAGCTAACTTACAGTTCTCCATTTTCACATGGAGGGGTGGTCTCTCTCATTACCAACAAGCAGACTTGGGAGCAGGAATCCAAGTCCATTCTCTTTCGCCCACATCTGGGGCTTTGGTGTATGGAAATAGATTAATTCTGTGGCTGGCCAAGCTGTTTTCATTTTCTCTTCAATACAATAGCATTGGAGTTCAGGGAAATTAGCTCTAGTGACAAAAATGTGGTTCTCCCCTTTTTGTTTTAAATCATTGGATGTGACTTCCATTTCCACTTGTTTAGCAAAAGAGAAATTAGGCCATGAGTAATTGCACTGCTCTCCCTGGGCTGAACATACTCATCTAGAGCATCTTGAATGGAAGAAAAATCAGTTCAGAGTGTGGGGGAGGGGCATTTTCCTCCAAGGTACCGGATCCCTTGAGCTCGACTGATTGGTGAAAAGCAAGGCAATGCTGCAGCCCCAGCATGGCACAGTTGACCGAGGGGCACTTTTCTACGCTATGCCAGATTCTTCTTGATCTGTGAATCTAAATATTCAGTACAATCAATCTATCCATCCATCAATATTCAGTATGAATGCACAGAAGTAAAAAAAAAAAATCTAAGGGAAGTGTAAAGGAAATTAGATGAAAATGATTAATCCATGTCTGACCAGTAAGAGGAAAGGAAGACCCCAAGTTTTGGGCACCACGCTAGATACATTTTGAATGCCAAGGAGAGCACTGGTGACAGAGAAGTAAAAGGTAGAGCCCACTTGGGACCCAGAGTGTTCTTCCAGGTCATTGGTTCTGTAAGAAATTGTTGGCTGTGATTGGCACACTTGGTGGCCACATGACCCGGTCGGAGCTTCTCCAAGTTGGTCTCTCAGAGTACTAGAGCTTGCTTGCTTTCCCTTTTCATCATTACCATGCTGTATTCTTAGGATTTCAGTGAGGTGGTCTCTAAGGTCTCTGCCCCCAGAGATGGCCACATGATCCATGCTGGTAATACTTTGGCCACTGTGGCTGGCCAAACAATGACCCTCGCCCTAATGTCACCTCCTGAAGCTTGAAACCTGCGAATATGTGACCTTACATGGCAAAAGGGACTCTGCAGGTTTGATTAGGTTATGGATACTTAGATGGGGGATGACTCTGGATTATCCAGACGGACCCAAATACCATCACAAGTGTCTTTATAAGTGAAAATGGGAGCAGGAAAGTCAGAGTCAGGCAGATGAGAAGATGCTACATTCTGGCTTTTAAGGTGGAAGAAAAGGCTGCAAGCTAAGGAATGCAAACTGGAGTAGGGAAGGAAATAGATCCTGCACTGTAGCCCTCAAAGGGACTGACGC